GACTACCACTGAATCAAATCTGAATGTGATGATCTAGTTCACGACAAACTTGGTATCCTGAAACATAAAAAATATTATATATAGATACATAGCTAGTTGCACTGCTTGTGTAGGTACCTGATACTGTTTTAGGTTTTCTTTTGTCATGTATTAGTTCCTGGTTGCATGCAGTGCATAGCTTCATTTACGACATATAACGACAATGAACTTGGCGGAAACCATTGTCACGCCCGCACTGCTACAATGCCCCTCGTACAGACAAATAGATAATGAACTATTAGCTGCCTGTTGCGCTTCGGAAATAGAGCGTTTATACTATATAATTTTCTTTGAATTTATTTTTAAACTAGAATTGCCCGCGGCTCCGCACGCATTCAGATAACCAAAAACCAAATTCTTAGGTTTTACATATTAGTATACTCTTACAATGCAGTTTTTGTATTTTTTCCAGAAATGAGATATTTTCCCGCGGTAAAAAGTATCCTGTATGTTGACCCGGATAACCAGCTATCACCATACCAAATTAATCAAAATCCCTCCAGTGATTTTTCTGTGATGCGGTAACAGAGAGACAGACAGACTGACAGACAGACAGGCAGACAGACAAAAATTCTAAAAACTACAGATTCGGCCTCTGTATCGATAATAATGTTTATTTCAATAAGATTTTCCAACAAATGTTTAATGTACAGATTCGGCTTAGTTACAATTTTATTATATGTATAGATATTTACATTTGTCATGTATTTTCAAAGTATTTTAAATCATATGTACATATCTTCTATATTAACTTATTTTAGGTATGTTCTGACTTCTGATATTTAATAAGGGAAATTAGCACTATTTGAACTCTATGCGACTCTATTAAGAAAAGAGATATTCCACAAAAATCTTTATGTAAATATGAAAATGTAAAGCTTAAATGGCATTACAAAGTACAAACCATTGCATGGCATTGTAAGTTTTGATTTGACAGGATATTTTACTTTATATAATTACTAGTCTATTCATGTACATTGAAAATAAAGTGATTTCGGAAATACGTAATTTATTCCCAGCAGAACTCGCGGTCAATATGCTATGTACTGAAGACGTGTTGCAGACAAACTTTCGTAGATGTAATGTATGATTATATGTTGCAATTGCATAAATCTCTACAAACTATTGTGTATTAAATAGGAAATGTAAATTGCTATGTTCATATAATTGGTATGTTAAGAGTGGAATTGTCTGTTTGGTGTAAGCTACAAATGTAGACCCAGGGAAGAAATTGTTTTTTTTTTTTTTAGTTTTGATTAGCTTATTACTATAAATATTATACTATTAATAATGAATTAATAAGAAATTATACTATTAATAAGTACTGACTATCTTATAAAATATTATTTAGGTAACTCATGATCTCCTACGTGTAGATCTGGCGAAAACTGGTAATGGAATAGAAATAATATAACTCTAACAACGATTTTGCGTGTAAACTCTATGGCCGATCCATTTAGCCCATTGTAGTGATAGTGGTAGGATGGGTTGGATTGTATGAGTCAAGTGCAGGAGCGTTCGCCTGGAACGCTGGCTCACAGTGGAATCTGCACGTGGCCTCGCAACACGTGTGTGCCTACTGACGCACCTTTTACGCAAGGGTGTCAAGTGTGCGCGAACCTTAAATCTCGTTACATGGAACCTGTCTCAGTTCAGTGTTAGTGTAGTGATAGATGCTAAAGGATTTGACAAACCGATGGAAAATATTTTTGTGTTAGGAGTAAGTAATTCTAATTCTAGTATTTTTTTATGAATGTATAATATGTAAATTTAGAAGTAATTTGGGATTTTCAATTTACTACTAAAAATATATGCGTATACTGTAGACTGTAGAATAAAATCAAATCTTTATTTACATAACGTTTTTACGGTCTTTATTAATTAAAACTTTGAAAATATTAATGAAGGTCATTATATGAGCATGAATATTTCAGCTACTTTAAATTTAGATAATCACCTCTTTCGACATTATATAGAGGCGTTTCTAATACAACGCTGTGGAAGTGTTTTATACAAATGTATGATTAATATATAACTAAAGTTTAAGTTATAATTATAGAAAGGTTTAATAATTTAACGATCCTTGTAAAAATGTACATAATATATGCCCATACATACATTACGATAAACCTTGTTGAGTATAGTGTACTATGAAGAGCCATTTTTATTCATGACAAAGAGCTTCTTTGTGTATTTTTTTAGACTCTTCTAAAGCCGATGTCTTGTTTATATGATTACCTTGTGTTATATGACTTTCTTCCAAATAACATAATATATTCTATCGAATATTTCTGCAATCAAAAAAAAAATACACTTTAGATGTGAACTTAGCTTTAAGTATAGGTAAAAACTGTAAGAAGTTAACTTTATATTACACTTGCCTTCTGTGCTTTTCCCGTGGCTTTACTCGCGTTTTTGATGTATTAGTTACCTTTATATCTGTGGCATCAACAAGATAAGAGTCATATAAATTTCCGATAGCCTTTTGCTCCTTAATTCGCCTCTATCGCGAAATCGGTTCTAAGGTGACGTTTTCTACTTATAAATTTTTTATCTGCCATATTTTACATTCATAGATCAAGCAGTTTATAAAATTTCGTGTTTGGTCAGTAAGTTACTTCTAACTTTTACATATGTATATTATTGACCTGCTCTCGCAACTTTTTCTAACAGATACCTACGTACATACCTATATAGCGGCTCACTCTCGCTTGGCTCGGGTTCGCCTCTAGCAAGACAAAAAGAAACCTACCCGACGGTAATAGTACAATTTTCCCGGATAAAAAGTAACCTATGTGTTATTCCAGATTATAATCTATCTCTGTGCCAAATATCATCCAGATCCGTTCAGTCGTTCTGGCACGAGAGAGTAACAAACATCCATACGCACAAACTTTCACATTTATAATACTCGTATTTATACAGATTAACAGGATAGTAGTGAGGATGGTTTATCAATACGTTTAATATATAATGTATAATTTTAATTATTTACCACCTGCATCATTATAATATAATGATGAAAGTTACTTCTTCCTTTACACTATTTATTACATGCTTATTGCATTCTAAGAAACAATGATAGATATTTTTTGCATTATTTACATATTTCATAGCATAATTCAATCATGTAGAGTTCCCGTTACATTTGCTATATATTTTCTATAGTAGGAGATAAAGAATAATGGCTTAAATTAGAATTCCGAAACACGTAAGACCTACTTGTTCATCCAACCGATTTGTAAATTATGTAATAGTAGATTCATTTAGAAGTGTTCTAGTTTGGGGCACTATCATGGTAAAAATAAGTAAAATAGTATTCAAACAGTACTAACCTACTAACTACCTTATTACGTAGTCACTAGGTACCTTACTAACTTCTTTAGTATATTTACTACTAGCGACTCACCCTCGCTTCGCTCGTGTTAAAAATGTACCTAGACACGAGTCTAGGTACATTTTAACGGTTAGTATGGAATAGATAGACTATATGCTATATAACATATAGCCATAGCCTTCCTCAATAAACGGGCTATCTAATCCAAAAATATTTTTTCAAATAGGATTAATAATTCCTGAGATTAGCACGTTTAAACAAACAAACTCTGCCTCTTTATAATATTAGTATAGATTTATTTAATTTTTTTGGCACCTACTTAAAACTGACCAAATTATTTATTGTTTGCCTAACTACTGTTATTCAGGCAATATTGTAATAATAAAAAAATAATATTATTGTAATATTAAATGTGTTATTAATTTTAATTTTAAAATTTCAATACTATTAGTGTAGAACATATAATATATAATATATATATTAAAAATTCAAGGTGACGTATTTCACAATTTAAATTGCTTATCTCCTCTTAGGCTCTTATCAATGCTTATCTATCAAGTTAGATTCGCAGTATGTATTATTAGTGGAATGCTCTCATGTTTATGATATAAGTCAACGTTATAGAGTGGTTTTTGAGAATAAACAATGGAAAGTGAATAAGCACCTACTTCAGAGTGAATATTACAGGAGCCAATAAAATTATTAATATTTAAAATAAAGGTTTTCCTGATGTGTGGGTAAATTGTACATTGAATATGGTTGCTCTATGCGTTCTTTTAAGGATATCGTGATATAATATATTGATAATTCTCTTAGGACACTTTCTTATATTTTAATCTACTGTGAATTAATCAGTCCGGCGATAATATAGTTAGTGAAATTTTCAATACTTTATTGGTATTTAATAAGCAACATCTGTATTAAGGCTATTACAATCACGCATGCGGAGGCAGGTACGTTAAGTGTTTTCGGAAGGACGTTAGTGGTGCGTCGTCGTAGAAATCGCGGCTACACATCCTATGAAAATACCGAAATTATAGTCTATATACATATATAACTAGCTATTTGAGATGGATTTAATTTTTACAACCATTAAATGTTTTGTTAGTTCACTTGATATGGATATGTATCTATCTATACATACATACATATATGTATATAAAACAAAGTTGGGTTTGTTAACAAAGTCGGGTTTGTTACAACACTTACAACTCGAGAACTGCTGGACCGATTTTTATGATCTTTGTTTTGTTGGATTTGTCTTCACTCCGAATAGCAGAATAACAATTAAAACATCGTAAAAATTCACGAAAAAGAAAATCTATTCCATACTAAGCGTCAAAACGTACCTACACACGAACTTGACCAAAGCGATGGTGAGTCGCTAGTATATAAATAAATAAAACTCAATTTAAACAAATACGCATTTGTTAACTGATTTTTAATTATGAATCTTTTGTTATAGTGTTCGACTACGCATTACTCATGAATACGAGATACTATAGAGATATAGATGTACTCAGTGATCTAAATTGAGACGAATAGTAACCTAAGGTCATAAGCTAAAAAGATAAGAAAATCAAAACTTTTGCTTGCTTCAACAGAATAATAAAAGGCCAGGACAATGCCAGAATTAGGTCCTATAATGCGCGCATTGGAACTGCAGCGGCTGATCGAGAACAAAGTTACGGAATGGCGCGAGAGGTCAGCCCGGGTCGCGGGCACGAGTGTGGCCGACTCTTATCAACAGCCACTTCACTTTAAGCGACATATAAACAGACGCAAAAACAGCGCTGAAATAAACAGAATTATCGCAAAGTACTCCAGACCTAATAAGAGACCGGACGAACATCGATTCACGTTACCAAAGTGTCCGAAGGAACCACCTGTGCGTCCCGCGAGACAAAAAAAGTTGAAACCTAATTTAAAAATATCGAGAAGTGAAGAAAATCTTCTAAATGTTGGCGTGATGGATGCTCCTGACCCTACAGTGAACGATAGAGTACAAAAAAGATTCAGTTTGTCGAAGTACAATACGAAGAGTTGTGAGGATATTACGGCATTTGTTGATTTTGGACACACAATGAAGAGCAAAAATTTTGAAGAAAATAGCATCCTGAACTCAAAAAGTGCTCCGAGTGCTCCGAGCATCGAGAGCTCGAGTGTAGCTAGGCGTAACCTTCACAGTATTGGTGAAGATATATCAATTATTACAGATTTAGGTGACAGTGGTATTCATTTTAGATATAGTGCATCTAATTTTGCGACATCTACGCCTATTTCGAACAGAAAGACATGTCCACCTGGTGATACTGTGTCCGTGCTTGAATTCGATACGTGTGCAAAATATAATAGTGTTATGAATGGTGAATTAAAAAAAGGTATTTCGGAGCCAGATATCCTCAGCAAAAAATCAGTAGAATCAGGCAGTACTCTGGATATACGAAAACGATGGAAATTAATTAAGCCTCCTTTTAGGAAAGGAGCGTTTGATTGCTTACTTCGTTGGCGCGGAAAGAGACCACAGACTGATCAAAGTAGGTGAGTGACTCATGCCTTAGTTTTTATTCGTTACTACATTTTTGGTTAATTTTAGTCTGATGATGATGTTCTCCTAGCCGATTCCGGCCACGGCGGCCAATCTCAATGAGATTAGCCAACTGCGCAGGAGATATTATAGTGCTCAAGTGTACGCGCAGACACAAGTGCACTCTCTATTCCTATCACTCTCATACTCCGGTGGGACGACCACTCGACACGACCGGTGAGAGTTAAGGCGCAGGACCGACGGCTTTACGTGCTCTCCGAGGCACGGGGGTGAAACACCGCCAACTTCCCAACTCCGGGCTGTTACTGAGACTTACTATACAGGAAGACTCAATAACTAAACTTGGCCCGACCCGGGACTCGAACCCAGGACCTCCGGGTGTGTAGCCGTACATGCTAGCCACTACACCACCGAGGCAGTTAATTTAATTTTAGTCTATAAAATGTATGACACTATATCCTATTACGCGATACAGCTGCTTTAATTAACACCGTTTCTTTAGTACTAATTTAAACTTCTAGTACTATTGATGAACGATTCATTTTCCAAGAAACCTAGCAAATGTTTTTATCAAACATTTTTTATTCTTAATAACATTCTGGATTGAGTGCAATTAAGGAAAAACGTGTTCTGCATGCTAGAAAGCATCTAGCGGTTTATCTGACTTCCTACTTTAGGTATAAACTTGCAATACTTGTATAAAACTGTAACTGTAGAAAACCAATAAAACCATTTTGAACTTTGCTCATCATCAATTAACGTACACTTCGTAATAAATAAATTCTAACCTACAAGTAATTGATTTTAAGGACTTGCAAAAAGATAAGAAATAAATAACGAACGATATATGTTACCAAACTGACACAATTTTGCAATTACCTGTCGTATTAACACATTGTTTTAGTATTGAAAGAATTTATAATACTGTTGGGTTATTTTATAACTTAGGAATCGATCCTGGGATAAAAAGATATATGTATGTGTATTGGAAAATATGAAGTTTTTTTATTTTATATCAATTACCGCATTGAAGTGTGACAAATATTTATCTGCTCCATACATTGTATTAGTAAAGTACCTATTAGTAAAAGAAACGTGGTAATAATAATTATAAATTGTCTACATCCTTTTTACTTAATAAAAATAATTATTGAGGCCGTAATATAAATACCTATATAATATGGGTAATTTATGACAATAATTATCTAATTATTGCGCAAAATAATGCGAGAGTTCATAAGTTACAAGGGAAATTTTGTGACGAGGACTGTTTTGTTATTATTATAAAGTCATGGCTTCATCCGACCAAAGTCTCCGTATTTAGTCCAGAACAGAGTTGTATTTTAGAAAATGATGAATATGATTACTGATTTAGATAATGGAAAATTATTATTTTCTATATAAATTTAGTAATTATTGTTCTCCACAGGGCAAAATCTTTTTTATGGGTTAAATTTGAAGAAACAAACTTTCTTAGCGATAACCTATAGTATTTTAGGAATAGGCAGATAAAATATTTTTTTATGTCCAGCGGCTTAGATGAATCAGTCAAGACAATATATACCGATAACTAGATATACATACATTTAAATGTGTAAAATGTGTTTTTGTGTCATAAAAATAAGTAAAACTGACTACTTAAGACAATAAATACGATACACTATGCTCTTATCAGAATTCTGAAAATAATTCATGTCCTTAATAAAACTATTAAAAATACCAAGAGTGTTAGTTGGTTTGTCCTTTCACGGCAACTGGTGCTGTATCGAAGTGATTTATGCACGAAGCCTTCAAAGAAAAAAAAGAGGGCTATTTTGATGGCAGTGTGGAGCTGTAGGTATAGTAATTACTATCTCCCAAATGGACAGACCGATTTCAATTTTTTTGCTTGAAGCTAGTTTGAATTGGATGGTTCTAAGTTGTTTGTTGTAAATGCACATCTACGTAACGTACGAGTACGTTACACGTTAAACTCACACCTCACCTCACACACATCTAACACCTCAGTCTCTCCCGTGACCATAATTGCTGTAAAGCATTCGAAACTTCGGGAACCAAAAATCCAAATAAATCCATGAGAAAATCCGAAAAGATAGTTTTATTTAAAATGTCAAATATTCGCGTAAATCTAAGAAAGTATTATGTTAAACTCTACAATTTCATAAACATAATATAATATGACATACAATTTTCGTTTATTATCAAGTTCTATTATAATCTGATACGAATTTGTGATCTTTTTAATATTATACATGAACATTTTGCATTTGGGTTTACGTTTTAGTTTTACGGGTTTTTGTGAATATTGCCTTACATATGCATACAATAGTGCCTTAGACCATCACATCACTGGTACACGTACAGATGACGCTACTCAAAATTTTGAAAGAAAATATAAAGCTTTCCACGTAGATAAAGCCACGGTTAAGAGCTAGTATATTTATAACTGTTCAGTGTTCATTCAGCACTTTGTATCTCGACATACATATGTATGTAATACGTATGTTGAATATATTTACTTTGGAATCTAAAGAATAAAAAAAATTAAGTTACGTAAGTAAATAAGACATTTGCTTAAACTTTATTATAATAGGGTTATTATACTGTAGGTCAAAAGATATTATTGACTCATGTTATTGTTTCATTTGTTGTATTGTACAATGTACATTGAAAACGTATTTCTAAGCGCGGTAGATAGATGGCGTTGGTTTATAGATATCTGCATAATATTTTTTACACCCAGACAAATCCCTGGATTCGAAAAGTTGATATTACATATAAAAGCTAGAATTTTCTTTTAATTCCACTTTTATAATGACAATAAGAAGTGGTAAATTTTGTATGGAAAATAATATTTTTCTTGCTAAATTTAGATTAAAATTGCTTTAAGTAAAATAAATGAAACACACATTATATCGGGATTTTTCAAATCTCATTGCCATATAGGGCTAGCAGGTAGTACCGTGGTTGCTGTAAAGTGTAAACTTACTATATAGTATTCGAAAAGTTGAGTCCGGCAAGTGGGAACCAAAAATTCGCGAAAGAATTTAAAAGATAATTTATTAATATTTAATAAATTATGTTTTAAATTTTTTACTTATACTCAATAGATATTACATTTCGAATTAAAAATATTATTCCACCTGCTTATATCGCTTGCTAGCGTAGCCAGAGAGAATAGAGAGCGAAGCGCTACTATCTCTACATAAGTATATTATATCTCTAGTTTTTCCAATTTAGTTATTTTTAATAATAAATACACGCCTGTAAGTATGTTCTGTACTTCTCAGTCCTTCGATTTGACCTACAGAAAACGTATTTTTTCTAGGATAAAAATTAACCTATTCCAATTAGATTATAATCTATCTCTGGGCCAAATTTCATTCAGATCCATTCAGCCGTTCTGTCGGGCGTGATTGAGAAACAAATATCCATCCAAACATCTAAGCTTTTACGTTTATCTTAATATATATATCTTAATATATATATTTCTTGTGTGCGTGTGTATGTGACTGAACTCCTCCTAAACGACTGGACCAATTTTGATGAAATTTTTTGTGTGTGTTCAAGGGGATCTGGGAATGGTTTAGATTCACAATTTGAATAATAATTTTCATCAAAAAAATTATTAAAAAAAGTTTGAAATTTTTAAATTAAAGACGTGTAGACAGGACAACGTCTGTCGGGTCCGCTAGTAATATTAGTAAGATTAATTCCACGGTACTGCGCTACTATCAAGTATCACCGCATTTCTTCTATTCTAATCTTAATTCTATACTTGTTTTGCTAAATCCAACATATGTAGATAGTTTTATTTTTTACTTATATTATTGTAGTCGAATTATGTATATTTTATGTATTAACTTAATTTATTAAAAGATGAAATTACTAGTATATGTATGTAGAATCTAGAAATATTTATACATTGGTTTTATATACTTATCGCAACAATCTATATTAATATTATGAAGATTTAAAGTTTGTGAATTGTTTGTGAGTTTGTGACGTTGTAGGGGGTAATCTCTGGATCTACTGAACTGATTTAGATGAAATTTGGTAAGACAATAGTATGAGACCCGGGGAAGGACATAGGATACTTTTTATCCCGGAAATCATTCCTTAAGGGGTTGAAAATGGGGATGAAAGTTTGTATAGTTTGTATTGTGTTAATCTCTTAATAATCACAAATTAGTCGCTTGGGGCTTACTTAATTTTATATGTAAATGCAAAAAGTTTAATATATACTAATATAATAGAGAAATGAACTGCCTCGGTGGTGTAGTGGCTAGCAAGTACGGCTGCACACCCGGGGATTCTGGGTTCGAGTCCCGGGTCAGGCCAAATTTAGTTATTGAGTCTTTCTGTAAAGTAAGCCTAACAGCCCGGAGTTGGGAAGTTGGCGGTGTTTCACCCCCATGCCTCGGAAAGCACGTCGTGTCAAGCAGTCGTCCCACCGGAATATGAGAGTGACAGGAATAGAGAGTGCATTTGTGTCTGCGCGTACACTTGTGCACTATAATATCTCCTGAGCAGTTGGCTAGTCATGCAAGCAGGAGAACATCAATAATAAAGAGGTAAAGTTTGTGAATTGTGAGTTTGTGGCGTCGCGTTGTAGGGGGTAATCTCTTGATCTACTGAACCAATGTAGATGAAATTTAGTAAGAACATAGTTTGAGACCCTGGGAAGGACATAGGATACTTTGTATCCTGGAAATGATCCCTTTAGGGGGTAAAATGGGGATGAAACTTTGAATGGGGAATCAACCTAGGGACGAACCCGGGCGAAGCGAGAGTGAGTCGCCAGTATTTACTAAAGATGAAGCCACAGATAAAGATATATTACTACTGACCATATAACATAGCTACTTCTAAGTAATTAATTATCATTGTATTTAAATTGAAACTTTGTGAGTATATGTTTATGTCACAATACTATAATAAGATTTTTCAAAATTTTTAAGACAATACAATATGAGATAAGATAAATGTACAAC